TTCGTTTGGCGCAACCTCAGAAAAGGTCCTCACGTGAGTGCAGTGACATTTACATAACTCTGCCCAGGCGAAGATCTGGCTTCGTTGCTTATTGCCATCGCTTTGGAGCTGCATTGCCACAGATGTTGTGAGACGGCTGTTGCAATCCCGGTCTGTGCCCTCGCTCCAAAAGGTGTTTTTGCCCTTTTATGTTGCACAAAGTGTCGCAGCAGCTTGCTGTTTTTTTCAGAGTTTGCTTTGCCTCATCATCTTGGGCAATCTCACTTTCGGCAAGGCAAGACCACGCATCAGTTGTTGTGAAAAAGTCAGCGCCCTTGACACAATTGATCAAACAATGGAAATGGGCTGCTGGCCCTCATGCCAGGCATGAACAGGCAACTTTGCCTTACGCCCCTGACTGCTTGGGTAGAACATAGACGCCTTGCGCATTGATAGGCCCAACTCAAATGCCACACGCAAAAGCAGGGGTGGTGTAAGTGAGATACCCAAGTCCCTCCAAAAACATTCAATCGGAGGTTGGGATGCTGTTTCTGAGCTCCGGTTCATTGGCCGAACTGAGGATCAAGGGCCGCAAAGACCCTGAAGTGTTCGCGATCTCATTTGGTATAATCGATTTGCTTATGCACGAGGATGAAGCTCAGCTGTTTGGAGGGTGCTCGTATACAGCGACCGACCCCAGGAGAACCATGAGAATCTGCATATAAGCCCCAGCTGCCCCAAAGTGTTTGTTCTGAGCCTTGTTCTCGTGCACGTGGACGCACCAAGTGCTTAGTTGGTGAATCATTGTGGCGGCTGTTTTCAATCATTGCTCTGAATGGCTGTCCCTCGCCGGATAGGTCTAGGTTTGACAAGTTTAATCCGTACTGCCCAGTTTGGCTTTGGCAAATGATGTTGTTCGATGTTGTGATATATTTATATAGTATTGTTTATATATATATATATATAGTCGTCAGTTATACAATGTGTTTGGATGTGGTACAGTACGTAGGTTTTTTGTTTCCTATATACCTGATTCGAGCATGACATGTCTCAAATGATGTATACATGCCCCGGCCACCTGAGGGTTGGAAGCAGGTTGTGGCGGCAAGAGTGCAGCACGTTTAACTTGAAACCAGCTGAGGAAAACCGGGGCTTCTGGAACAAGTTGCTTGGAGAATATGCCGCCTGTGAAGGTGTAGGCCCTGTACACATCGTTCATCAAGGAATGGTTAGTTAACTCTTTTGTTTTTGTTTGGCGGCCGCTTGTGTGTGTGTACTCAGGTTTGCATCTGGGATGTCGTTTTCTACATGTAGTGTGACCGACCTGGACCCCATTCCCGCCTATCCATATTGGATGCCTGGCAGTTTAAACAAGAAGACAGGGGTTACCGGGGTTACCAGAAATGTCCATCGTGAAATTGGATCTGAGGATTCGATTCTGTCGTATGCTTGGCCTGCAATTAGCGTGGCTCGGATTAGGAGAGAAGCAAGATTAGGTGTTTCCAGAAGCAATCAGGTGTAGATTGGAGGCCATCGCTAATGTGTCTAGATTTTAAGCACCTCGGGCGGTAGCAAGAGCATTAAAGCACCTCGGGTGGTTGAGTTTGCTTTGGAGAGTGCTTTGGAGGTCTCAGAAAGATGGCAAGTGTGAGTCTTGCCTTGGTCAACCGCCCGGTATCGGCCCCTTGGCTTCTTCAAGCGAACGGAAATACGAACAACAAGGGGAAGTCTGTGGGTGACCTCAGTATGAAATTACAAACTTTACCGTCAAGCATAGCTTGCGTTAATTCCAAAAAATAGATAAATGCTCCTTTGGTCCAGTGCAGGTTACACTTACTTCCGATCGGATTGGGCTGCTGCGATGCAGAAACAACTCTGCATACCTGACCGCTATCGGAAATGAAGATTTGAAGCGCAACCTCAGAGCACGGCAGACAGTTGCTCCCTCAAGACGCCTTGAAGAGAAAAAGGCGCTGGGCGGCAGAGTTGCCAGGAAGCATTGGAACTGGAATCCTTGGGGTTGAAATGTGATTTGTCATGTTTGTCAAACTGTCAGATCTGAGTAGGCTGCCAGTAGTGCTCGTTTCCCCGTGTCTCGCGCATTTGTATCATGGTGGGACTCCTTCGGGCACAAGTGATCATCATGGCTGGTGTTGCAGGACAGCCAGAACTGCCCAAACGGTACTTGCAACCACAGCAGTGGGGTGACGTGACAGGCGCCAGCTCTAGCCAAGGGAATGTGATCAAGTGTACCTGGGGAGTTCTGTGCAAAGGAGGTTTTGTCCACCAAGATCCCCCTGAGCTGTGCGAAGGCGACTTCGAATGTGTGCCTGACAAAGTACCTGCCGGATCTCCCGTTCCTCTTCAGCCTTTGCCTTTGGAACCTGGACCCGTAGTACCTGCTCCAGCTGAAGGGCCTTCCAAAAAAAGTCTTTCAGGAGATGCTTCAATCTCTTCGATGGGCAACATGAGCACAAGGAATGACACAAAGAGTTCAGTACCTCAGCCAGTTGCACAGCTGAGGGGCACTCACAGCTTGGGTGCTCAAAGCGGACCAAAACGCTTGAGCTCACGAGCCAAGGGCCATGAGATTTCTTGCCACTGCGGTGTTGCTTGCCATTTGGGACATAACGGCAGAGGAGAAGAAATGATTTGTAAGGGGCCCCTTGTTTGCAACTCCTGCATGCCTATGCAAATGGGAGGTGCAGCAGTTGATATGCTTGATGTACTGCATGTTGACCCAGGATCTACATAAAGCCGTTGAGATCATGGTTGGACCAAGTGATGTGATTTCCAGTAAGCCTTCTATGGTTAACGGTTTGAGGATGTGGCAGCGTTGGATGGCCCAACCCTGTTTCCAACCAATGGCATTGATGTGCACCAGTACAGCAGCGAACCATTTGTGTACAGGCTTGTTCCGGGGTCTCTACGGACCAGCAGAACCCGCAGTAACAAGCAATGGGGACACCACATCAAACAGTAACAAGCGACCCAAATGCTCAAATCAATTGGTACCTGGGTTCAAGGGTTCAACCAACCTTGTTCAGCATGGTGCAACCACGCTCAAGGAACTATCATTGGGAAAGCCGGCAGAATGATAAAGAGATCCACAACTCAAAGGAAGGTGTTTGTTCCTAGTGGCGAACATTGCTCCTAGTCCTAGTAGTAAGGCCAGGCGCCCCTAGTAGCGTCCTTGCTCCTAGTAGCGATGCCCTTTGTTCCTGGTAGCGAACATTGCTCCTAGTAACTAGTAGGTCCCGCAGGTCCGTTTGACGGACAGGTCCTTCATTTTGACTCCCGCTCGATCCAGCGAGGCCCGGGCCGTTAACATGCCAAGCTAATCACCGTTTGTGGGCTTAAGTTGAACCCAGCTATCAAGCTAGTATTATTTACGGACAGTGCAAATGACCTTGTTGTAAATTTGGTGCGAGGGACAGGGCAAGAGTCTTTGATAGTGATGCTCAATGCTCAGTGCTGGTTTGGCTGCGGAATGCATCAAACATGCAACTGACAAGACTAGGTTTGTTGATTGCTTACACAAGTATTTAGACGGAATGGGCCACTGCTGGGACATTGTCGAGACGTGTGCAGCAACAAAAGGTACTGTATATGAGTCTTTTTGTCACGTATATTAACATGTCAATATCAATATCCATGTCACACCATATCGCTATGCAGTATTATGCAGACTTGTGGTCTGAAGTTCCCAAACCCCATAATTGCAGAACTATATAGTAGAACGACACCAGGACCTCAGGAGCCAGGAGATGTTGTCTCGCACCAGGTGGCCTGCCGCTTCAACCGCACGGATGCGCATGGCCTTAGATCCACTCTTTAGGAGTGCACATACAATGGCATGTGAACCTCAAAGGCCACTAACACAGTTGTTTACACAAGCGCCGGGTGGTTCTGAGTGCTTATGGGGTAGCCTGCGCAGCTGATGTAGCTCAAGAGCCGGGTGTCAAGGCGAAGGCTACAGGACGGAAAAGCGGTGAGAAGCCAGCTTAAGCTATGCTGGGTAGTGAACAACATGCTAGATCCAATGTCGTTCAGGCACAAACCTGTTCTGCAGGATCGCAGCATGCGTGCCTATAATTCCTTCAGCCAGGTCAAGAAGGGTGGGGGGTGGCAGAGCCTGGACGCATACCCTCCTCAATGGCAGATTTGTTTGAATGAAACGTGGCTTGAGTTTTTGGATTTACCTAGGGAATCCTAGGGATGTATGTCATGACAGTGACACAACCAGACCTCTTTGCTCATTCAGGCCCCATGGCTTGAAAAGACCTATTTGGACTTGCAGGACGGTGTCGGGGTGCCAAATCAAAAAGGCGTTTTGTTTTGTGCGTGATTGATGTTGCCGTTGATCCTTCATCGCACGTGGCGTTCTGCTGACCAGCGTGGCATGAGATCTGCAAGTTTGTGCGACATGTTTTCACAGTGTGTTTTGTCTCAGCTTGCATTGCGCACAGGATTTGTTGCTTGCAACCTTTGCACCGGAATCCTCCTTCAAAGGCGATGGGGGGTGGGTTAAAGATATGGTGTTTTTGTTCAGAGGGTTGCCAAGCCGCTGAAGTGCTGTCAACCTGGAGAGCCGCTTCAAGAGTCCAGGCGAGATCGAGCCAGAAGCGAATTGCGCTGAAGCGATCGGCGCTGTAATCCCAGCAGTCACAGCTGCAGACCCTGGACAGCTATGGTTCCACAGTGAGTAATTCATAGTAATTCAGTGAGTAAAAATGAAAGAAAATTACTCAAACAATGGTTGTAGGATGTTGTAGGAACACTCAGGACGGTCATGGCCGGCACACCTTCCCTTCTGACTTCTGGCTAGAGAAACCGAGGGGGCCGACCCAAACCATGGGTTTTGTTCAGCGTTCAGTCCATCAGATGTTCTCAATGCCTTTGTGCATGGTGTTTTCCACATTATGTGCTAAGGGCATCTTCTAGCGACTTCTAGTGATTCTAGTGAACTTCTAGGGCTTCAGCAATCCTCGCAATCCACGATGCCAAGGCAATCTCAGACTTTTGCGAGGTGTACTCTGCCACTAGAGCCGTCCCAACTAGGCTGGGCAACTGAGAATTGTTGGGAAGCATTCGTCCAGCTGTTCTGTTCTCAGGGCTGAGATGGAAGAGGTTTGGTCATGAACTCGGCCTGCCATGATGTGGTTGACCGTAAGGTGGTCTTTGGGACCGGTGACAAGTGACTGAACTACTGGCTTGGATGACTACGAAGTTTGGAACTTCAATCATTGTCTCCTTGCTTTGATGGGAAGAGGTAGCTGAAAAGCACCATGTTGCAAGCCCAGTTTGTTGACTTGTTGTATATACGCAGTTGAGGTCGCATTGCTGCGGCCTACCCATCGGCAATGTGTCTGATTCTTTGGCGCAGTCCTTGGATGTAGACGAAGCCTTCGAATGGCAGCCAAGGCAGGGTTGATTTCAGTTGCAATGCATGTCGGTGTAAGTGAGGTTGAAACATGATTGGCTTTTGCGCGTGTTCTGGGCATACCTTTCCATAACCTCTAGAATCCAATCCAAAGGCTCGCCCAAGAAAGACCGCCTTTGTGCAAGGCTGCGCATACTACACCTGTTGCAGCACCTGCAACAAAAGGCGTTGAAAACCATATGTGAGTTTAAAAAGATCGAAAATAGCAGAACGAATGGTCACAAGGTCCAAAAGAAACAGCAAGGTCTAAAAGAAAGTGGAGATCTATGTGTTGCTGTAGCTGTTTTACTCAGCTAAAACTCGAGAGTTGGTCAACGGTCATCAGTCCACAGGGTGGTGCAGCAGAGCTGGTCGGAGTCTCGGACGTTTGTAAGACAGAGATCAAGGCCATGCGAAGCCTTTCCATGTTCAACAGGGTATCCAGCACCGTTTGTGACAAAATCCAACCCCACAGAAAAGGTTTTGCACATTGAGACCTTAATGTTCATACCAGGTTGGAGGCCATCGCTATTTAGGTTAGAAGCCATCGCTATTAGGTTGGAGGTCGTTGCTATTAGGTTGGAGGCCGTTGCTATTAGGTTAGAGGCCATCGCTATTAGGTTGGAGGCCGTTGCTATGAGGTTAGAGGCCATCGCTACTAGGTTGGAGGCCATTTGCTGTTGGAGGCCATTGCTACTATTAGGTTGGAGGCCATGGCTATTGGGTTGGAGGCCATCGCTATTAGGTTGCGGGCCATCGCTATTGGAGGCCATTGCCATTAGGTTTAACAAGATAATCAAAACAAAAAAAAGTGTGTTTTGTGTCATGCAAACTGGTCATGTTGTGCTAAGGTGGCCGAAGAAGTCCTGGTAAAAGCGGCAGGGATCTTGCAGCATTTAGCGGAGGAGGACTGCAATGCTGCGTTGCCCAACGTGGTGGCTCCAATCACTGGAAACAACCGATTTTTGCAAATATGCGCTTGTACGCATACAGCATACACACATGCAACGCACTGAAGTCATCAAGTTGTCAAGTATTGGAAGATGCAGTTACAGCGTGCCGTCGCTGATGCGCAAGTTCAAACCATTCTTGTACTTTCGAAGAGTATAGACACAGCCATGCAGGTGCCACAGTGTCAGCCCATGGCACGGCAACTGCTCCAAAAGACATCTGGGGCAGATTCAATAGAGACCTGCAGTGTGGATGACGAGAATCCGCACTATCAGGTGACTTGTTTACATGTTAGAAACCTCGGAGTCAAGGTCTTACTAACACATATATACTAAAACCAAACAACATCAGAAAGGCCTTGCCTTGCAATGCATTCTTGTTTAGGCAACCCTGCCCAACGGCAGCAATATGCAACCAGGGAACTCTTTTACAGATGTGAAAGGAGATTGCAGAAGGCCTGAAATTAACATGCCTTTTGTGTGCAGGGGTAGGCAGACTCGGCGTTTGATAGATACCATGTTTGAAGATTCTTGGGCTCTCGAGGCCTCCGTTGGTCAGAGCGCACTACTCAGGTGTCAGAAGGACCCGCTATGGAGGCATGGACTGCAGGATGAATGGTTTTGCTAGGTGGAAAACCGTCGTATCGAACTTACAGCATGTCAAGGAAGAGCACATCCAGAATGCCCCTTAAAGACCACCACAGAAGAGTTGTCTCACATTGTGTCACCGCGGCAAGGCTCACAAGCCAATAGAAGACAAGAAAGAGGAGGGCGGACCCCTGTGGTGGTCATTTGTGCGATGTGCATAAGCCGAGTGCAAAGCTTTGTTCTCAGGAGCTACCACAAGATTTGCCGGTGTTGACTGCACTTCGAGCTTTGCTGGAAAAGTCTCACATACCAAAGATGAAGCCCCCACAGGCTGGGCCATTTGTGGTGAATTGCTTCGGACTTGTCCTCACTTCTCGTTTTGTCAGGTGGCTGAGGTGCACGCTGAAGCTCCAGAATCACCTTTTGAGGCCCATGCCGAATGGACCCGCGGGAAGTAGGACCAACATGCATGAACTACAACATACTACAACCATCCTGAGGCCAGGCAGAAGACCCCTATCACTGGAAGAAAGCTTGTTTTAAGTTAAGTTCAAGAACCTGTGTATCCTGTATACTTCAACCTTGACTCTGCAGCCGGTTCAAGGTCAGATAAGATTTGGAAAAGAGAAACGCTGCTAAACTGCTAAACTGGCTAGGTTGGGTCAACCTGCACCAAACTTGTGGTACTGAATTTTGACATGTTCGGGACCTCAGGTCAACACTAGCAGGGAGCGCTGCCCGAACTTCCCTGAAGAGGATGCTGGTGGCTCAAAATGGCTTAAAGGTTCCCATGTTCTTTGTCGGCATTCAGTTGGTAAGCAGCAAACTCCAAGTAATTTCAAACCATGCAATTTTGTTTGGATGCTGCCTTGCAGATGTTGGCTTTGCAAACACGTGACTTGGTCATACTTTGACAGTAGCTGCATGAAGGAAGCTGAATCGATGGTGCCGGACTCTGCAAGCCTCCAGGCACCCAGTGGCTTGATTATGCACATTTTTGGAAGAGCTTGAAATGCTAGGTGTGGAATCCTATGTCCTGGAACGCTCTATCTTCCAACGAGGCAGAGGCCAGGTTGCCACCGTGCACTCTCCCACATTCATCTAGCTTAGCTTAGGTGCAAAAAGAAGACCTTACGTTTAGCAGCCGGAAGGGTCAGCGGCTTCCAGCTCAGCTCAACTTTCAGTCTCAAGTTCGATGCAGAGCAACAAGACTCGCCGTTGCTTAGGCCTTATTTGTGGCTCTCTGCCGTGGGTGCAGTGGATTTCGAGAGCTCCAAAAACGCTTTCTCTGACTTGGGCTTGACAACACGAATGGAGATTTGAGGAGTGAGCTTAAGGTGGTCATACACTCAGAACCCATCAGTCATGGCCACCTTAGTGCCCATGTGAAAGAATTTGGCGGAAGTATTTGCCAACTGCGCTGATGGTACGCTATTGTGGTGTCTAATGATTCTAATGCTTTCTAATACTTCCCCGAACTCTGAAAAATGTGTGCAAAATGCACTGTCTGCCTGGCCAGACAGGGTAAAGTGATCAGACGAACATTTTTGTCACATGGCCAGTTGGGCTAATTCGATTCAAGACACTCCCTTGTACAGGTGTTCTTGCGACTGCATCTTGCAGGGCCCGGTCACGCTCCCGGCAGTTAATAGCCATCTAATTTCCCAAAAAGATCAGAAGGCTACAAAACGGAACACCATTCCCCTGCACGTGTGTCGATTGGCTTGGACGCCAAGCATTTGACTAAACACCTTGCATATTTTTGGCTGCCCGGTCATCTCCTTGTTTGGGGAGTTTTTAAGAGCGCCCTTTGATGCATGGAGCAGTTAAGTGACGTGCAAATGCTTTTTTAGTTTGCCTTGCCAAAAGGGCGCGAAGAAGCAAGTCAAGGAACTCATTGAAGCTACATGAATTTCAGCTGAGGAACTGGCTTAGATGCCTTTCTGTAGAACAGCTTCATTTCACACAAATTAGCCTTGGGCGCAAGAAGCTTGCGAACAATCTTCAAGTATGCATGCAATGGCCATGGCAATGTTTGGGTTGCACGGAGTCGCATTCCAACTCTATGCACCTGCTGAGGGCCAGTGGCTTCCATGCCGTCGGACACCTGGAAAGCAGGCGTGGTTGGCGGCAGCAGTTTGGTGGTGGCTTTGCCTTTTTAACATTCAAGAAAAAAGGGTGGGGACCCCAGAAGTCTTTGCGCAGGCCTATGCACTGAGCAGTTCAAGAGCATGCTCAGAGGTGACCGACTTACGACTAGGCTGTTGCAGTTTCAAGTTTGTCACCCGTCCCCATCGTGATGAATTGCTCCAGGATTCTGGACCCAGGCAGAGCGGTGTATACTTGAGTTTCTTCTCAACTTCAAACCTCTTGTCCAAGAGTGACGAGATCAACCTTTCCGTGTTTCCACTCAATTGTCCATGCGACCTTCACAGGCATTTGTTTCATAGATCGGTGCCCAGTGCGAGCCTCGAACAGCCTTGACAGAGGAAAACTTTAACATCACAACCAAACACAATTATATTCCTAATCAAAATCCCAAACACTACCAAGGCTAATGAAATTCCGACAAATTAGTTATTCCAAATAAATATAAACATATATAAATTAATTGAATAATCTATATAATGCGTATAATGGCTTTAAACAATATACCAGGCTACCGCCTGCAGCCGCCGACCCCCAAGGGATAGAACCTTAGCGCTGGCCTTGCTTTATGTTAGGTTTAAGCCTTAGCTTTGCTGAGCTTTAGACTTAGATTTAGATTTTATTTTTTTACCTTTCCGGACCCGGGGTTTATTGTAAAAGGGAATTATAGGATTTCCTAGGTATGCGTAGAAAATTGCGAATCTATTTGTTTCTATTGTTGTAGAAAATTCTAGGATTTCTTCTTGTGTTTCTCCAAAAATTGATTAATTTATTGTTAACCTATTTAATTCTAGTGTTTTCGGTAAATGCCCTGGAATTTTCTAAGGGTATGAGGTCCGGCTAGTGCCCGTGGTAACATGAAAGGTTTTGGTAAGAATTTCGTATACCTATTAGGCGCCCGTGTCCGCGCCATGTGGCATGTTGGTTCTAGGACGGAGTAGCGCAAACGGAAGCTTGGGCAGGTGGTGGCGAGGTTCTCGCGCTAGCGAGGGAAGAGATCGTAGCCATGGATATGCGGATGGCACGCGCGCGTGGCGGAATGTCTGCAGTGCGGTAGGCCGGGGGGGGGAACGGAAGGGTGTGGAAGCGGGTGGTTCCACGGTGGGAGGAAGGACGTTGTGTTGGATATGGGGAGGGTAGGGTTTCTTGGAACACAATGCAGAATCACCCAAGTCGTTGGGTGAGAGGCAGCCGGTGTCTGTGTTATGCGTTTCTTGGGGGAAAAGGGTGCTGCCCATGGTGTTCGCTCGCTGTAGCTAGCGAGGGCGTTGCCCATGTATGTCCCCTTATGTAGGCTACGGAAAATTGCTCCGACGTACGTCATCCGTGCATAACTGCTCCTGGAAGCCCCCCCCGGACCACGTCGTTTCGCGCGACGCAGTCGCCAAAGAGAACGCCTGCGAGAAAAAAGACCCCAGAAGGGAGTTGTTGGGCTAGCCGTGCGTGGGTGGACCGCGGGTTTTTTTTTTCCTAGATTGACCATCGGACGTCATCTCTTGCATGAACCCCGTGATGCGGAGCCCTCCTCCCCATAAAGGATATTATTGCCCAAGAATTTAGACCCAACCTTTCATCACCAAAGCAGGGTTATCATCGGACGTCATCTTTTGCATGAATCCCGTAATGCTGAACCCTCGTCCCCATAAAGGATATCATTGTCCAAGAGTTTAGATCCAACCCAGCACCACCAAAGCAGGTACCCAAAAAGTCGATTTACCATCGGAGGTCAGCTCTTGCATGAACCCCGTGACGCGTTGGATTTTGCGGGCTGTGGGACCGCAGGGCGCTTCCCATGGTCTAGGGTACATTTAAGTGCCACAAGTGTCGGCGCCCGGATTTATGCTGAATCGATCGGTTTCTCCCGGCGACCCAACCCATTACCACTCCCGGCGACCCAACCCATTACCACTAAAGCAGGTACCTAAAAAGTCGATTCGGTGTCCGGACTTGTGTTGAATCGATCGGTTTCTCCCGGTGACCCAACTTATCACCACCAAAGGCAGGTATCCAAAAAGTCGACTTTTTGGGTACCTCTTAGATTTACCATCGGACGTCATCGCTTGTATGAACCCCGTGATGCTGAACCCTTTTCTCCATAAAGGATATCATTGCCTAAAAGTTCAGACCCATCACCACCACAGTAGGCTAGATTTACCATACGTGATCTCTTGCATGAACTACGTGGTGATGATGATGCGTTCCTCACCGACGAGTCCGCGTCTATATCTTGTTGTTTAGGCACACTCTATCGCCGAGGATCCCTCGCAAGCCAAATTGCAAAGGTGGGTTCTACGATAGAGGACTGTCTCTGTTTTTTTTTTTTTTTTCAAAAGTCGACTTTTTTGGTACCTCTTAGGTGTATTATCGGACGTCATCTTTTGCATGAACCCCGATCATTGCCCAAGAATTTAGATCCAACCCTTCACCACCAAAGCAGACTTTTTGGGTACCTCCCAGGTTTACTATCGGACGTCACCTCTTGCATGAACCCCGTCATGTTGAACCCTCGTCCTCATTAAGGATATCATTGCCCAAGAGTTTAGACCCAACCCAGCACTACCAAAGCAGGTACCTAAAAAATCGACTTTTTGGGTACTTCCCAGATTTACCATCGGACGTTAGCTCTTGCATGAACCCCGTGACGCGTTGGGTTCTGCGGCCTGTGGGGCCGCAGGGCGCTGCCCATGGTCTAGGGTACATTCAAATGCCTCACGTATCGGCGCCCGGACTTGTGCTGAATCGATCGGTTTCTCCCGGCGACCTAACTCATTACCACCAAGGCAGGTACCCAAAAAGTCGACTCCGCGCCCGGCCTTGTGCTGAATCGATCGGCTTCTTCCGGTGATCCAACCCATCACTACCAAAAGTCGATTTTTTGATTACCTCCCAGATTTACCATCGGATGTCATCTCTTGCATGAACCCCGTGATGCGGAGCCCTCCTCCCCATAAAGGATATCATTGCCCAAGAATTTAGTTCTAACCCTTCATCACCAAAGCGGTACCCAAAAAGTCGACTTTTTGGGTACCTCCCAGGTTTACCATCGGACGTCATCTCTTGCATGAATCCTGTAATGCTGAACCCTCGTCCCCATAAAGGATATCATTGCCCAAGAAATTAGACCCAACCCAGCACCACCAAAGCAGGTACCCAAAAAGTCGACTTTTTGGGTACTTCCTAGATTTACCATCGGACGTCAGCTCTTGCATGAACCCCGTGACGCGTTGGGTTCTGCGGCCTGT